AGACACACGTCTGTTCACTACAGCTGCATCAACACTAAACAAACTAATTTAACGGCAATAAACCGACAGAAAGGGGATTCTGAAATATCTACGTAATGATGCGGATTAAAAAGTCTGAATTCATGTTCTGTTAGTTTTCTCCTCAAGACGACAAGTAAATAACGTTTAGAATGCTTGTTTTCTCAAAGGAGTCTGGATCGATCGGTGCTATGCTAACATTGTAGCAGCTCCATTACCACTCAACATAACGTCACACAGGCGTAAATACGGCGTTTATTCATTGTTTGTACCGTCTGGTTTACACACATGTACACACATAGTCCGGTCTCCACTAACTTGAGGTATCGTGGAGCTCTGGTGAACACAGACGGATACAGGATGTCTTTCCTGATTCAATGTCAGGACGTCAGTGATGACAGGAGGAGCATCTCACCCGATAGGCTATTGCGCCGCAGCGCCCGCCCCAAATGCTCTCATTGGTTGAGACGCGTGATGACGCCCATCCCAAGCCAATCCTGATCAACATCCCGCCCCTCCTGTGAGCCATGCTCTGTGTCTGTGTGCTCAGAGCCAGAGAGCAACGGACTTTCAGAGTAATAAAAAAAATTTTAAACTGCGTTAACGCGCGATAGTCATTGTTGGCGTTAATTAATAATGCATTAACGCGATAACACGTTAACTTGCCCAGCACTAGTATAAAGATGAATGGCAGCTGAGAGGAGGTGAAAGGAGCTGAGAGCAGCGATCACCTGAAGACACCATCAAGATTCAAGAGGAGGAAGTTTAATGTGACTTTTATATAAAATTCAGAAGTTTACTTAAAGATTAACATGAAGAAGATTTAGATGTTAAACATACATTTATTTAACAGAGAAAATGGAATAATTCATAATAAATTAATCATAAACTAATGTCCTGTTTCAGTTCTGTAATGTTTTTGTTTATTAATGTTGGAAACAAATGTGTGAAGTTACTTATTAATCAGCTTCAATAACTACAGTGAATTAGTAATCATGTGCTGATAATCTAGACTGAAAATATCTGTAGGAACGTCCTGTTGTTCTGAACTTCAAAATAAAACTCCACTGGTCTCTGATGTTTGTTTGGGTCCAGACCTTTGAATCGATCCACTTCACTGAGTGAGTCGACTGATCCGTATTATGTAGCGTCTCGGTTTAAAAAAGCAGTCGACCAATGAGAGCTGCAGGCAAAATTACGATCAGCCAATCAGAGCCAGGCGGTTCTGACCCTGTCAGACCTAAACCATCGAGTTCTTTAATACCAAACTAATACAAAATAAATAATGTGCAGCAAAAAAAAAGAAAAGTTTACATTTTTTCCCTGTCTCTCTCTCTTTCATCATCTCTCTCTGGTCACAGAGAAGGAAACGTCGCTAACAGAAGTGCTAAATATCTGTGACCAGTGTACCATTACAGCATGGTGGAGTTAGCTAGCTAGCTAGGTGTAGCATTAAAGCATGGTGGAATTAGCTAGCTAGGTGTAGCATTAAAGCATGTAACTCCACCATGCTTTAATGCTACACTGGTCACAGATAAGTCTGTCTTCTTATCGCCCGACATCAGTTTGTTTTTACCAGTTTCTATTCAAACCACTGAAATATATCACAGAAGTTGAAGTCTCTTATTTTATGGATTCATATTTTAAAACCATTTCCTGGATCTTTACAAGAAGTCTCCTGAAATCAATATGGAAATAATTCAGATTTTTAATTTATAGACTTTTACTTACGAAGTGTTTCAATTGTCTCTTTATGGTTCTCAACATGCCATCAGTGAGCCGGTTATAACCGGAGTCGGTTTTTAAAGGCAAGAATACAACATGAAAAATACATCAAATATATATATATATAAATACTTTGTTTATTTTCAAACACTTTTACTTTTGTACCAAACGTTCTCTGCAAACATTAAATCCAAAGATTCACCGTAAAATAAAAACAGCTGATTCTGCTCTCAGTATTCTGTGTAATTGTATAATATTAAATATTAATCTTCTGATGGATTAAAGAACTTAAAGAAACATTCTGGTTCATTCAAAGTAAACACAGAGTTCTGATCTCTGAAGCTCGACTTTCTTTATCTAGAGACGAGAAGAACGGAGAGACCGACAACAAGCAGCGCTGGAAGTACTACAAAGTACAACAAAGTACAACGGAATACTTTGGGACCTTAAGACCAATCAGCTGCTGTTATTTTATGAAAACTTCATGTTGTGGATCTCATTTTATTCGTCTTTCACATTAAAACTCCTGAAATCTGCAACATTTGTATTTCAGCCGTTTTATTTTTGTACGTCTCTTAAATTGTGTTTTTAGATTTCAGGATCGTTTTTGTTTTGTTTTTCTTCTTGTAAAAAAACATTTATGGAATTTATTCATCGATGATCAGACGCACAAATCCAACCGATCAACGATGAACAGGAATTTAAAGTGTTTCCTTTGTGTTGAGGTTTCACTGATCTCTGATCTCACCCTTCTTCTTCACCGTCGACGTAGAAATGAGACTAAAACATGTGAAGAAGAAGAAGAAAGAGTTTCTACATGAAGCCCAGCTCTTTTTCTCATAATGGCTCACTTTGGTGCTTTATTGCTGGATGACATCATCACGTGATGACATCATCACTGGTCTACATGGAATGTGATGAACCAGAACCCTTCAACAGAACCAGGTCCAGAGGTCCAGACCTCAGCTGGTCTGGAGTCAGTTTGCAGAAGTTAAAGCACAGAACAAAAGTTCCCGATGGAAAACAAGAAGAAGAAGAATTCATTGAAATAATAATAATAAACCGTCTGCTCTCTTCTATCTCTAATACCACCTTAACAAACATAAAGATTATCCTGCTCGGGGTCCTCGAGCAGCTTTGGCATTAATCATCAATAACTGTTTGGTCCTCGTCTTCCTCCTCCAACTGTCTTCATCGATCCATAATCAACATCACGTGACCGTAAACACACCACTCGTCTGATTGGTCCGCTGAAGACGACTCATCTGAACAGAGAGACAACAGATCAAAGTCCTGATGACCTCACATCACTTTAACATTGATTATCTGATCAGCTGGGATGTTTGTTGTTGTTGTTGTGTTGACCTCTGACCTGCGCAGGCTGCGAGCTTCGTACAGCGTGTCATCCTCCTCGCTCTCCACCGCCTCCATCTCCACCGAGTCCTCGTAGTTGGACAGCAGACCGTACTTCTTCTTGTTGGCTGGTCGCTTCAGACTGTCGACAAAACACAAACGGTAAAACGTGAGATTCATAGATGGAGTCTGGTGAGAGACAGGAAGTAGAGCTGAGCGAGAGAGAGACAGGAAGTAGAGCTGAGCGAGAGAGAGACAGAAAGTAGAGCTGAGCGAGAGAGAGACAGAAAGTAGAGCTGAGAGAGAGAGAGACAGAAAGTAGAGCTGAGAGAGAGAGAGACAGAAAGTAGAGCTGAGCGAGAGAGAGACAGAAAGTAGAGCTGAGAGAGAGAGAGACAGAAAGTAGAGCTGAGCGAGAGAGACAGGAATTAGAGCTGAGCGAGAGACAGAAAGTAGAGCTGAGAGAGAGAGACAGGAATTAGAGCTGAGAGAGAGAGACAGGAATTAGAGTTGAGAGAGAGAGAGACAGGAATTAGAGCTGAGCGAGAGAGAGACAGGAATTAGAGTTGAGAGAGAGAGAGAGACAGGAATTAGAGTTGAGAGAGAGAGAGAGACAGGAATTAGAGTTGAGAGAGAGAGACAGACAGGAATTAGAGTTGAGAGAGAGAGACAGACAGGAATTAGAGTTGAGAGAGAGAGACAGGAATTAGAGCTGAGCGAGAGAGAGACAGGAATTAGAGCTGAGCGAGAGAGAGACAGGAATTAGAGCTGAGCGAGAGAGAGACAGAAAGTAGAGCTGAGCGAGAGAGAGACAGAAATTAGAGCTGAGCGAGAGAGACAGGAATTAGAGCTGAGCGAGAGAGAGACAGAAAGTAGAGCTGAGCGAGAGAGAGATAGAAAGTAGAGCTGAGAGAGAGAGAGACAGGAATTAGAGTTGAGAGAGAGAGAGAGAGACAGGAATTAGAGTTGAGAGAGAGAGAGACAGGAATTAGAGTTGAGAGATAGACAGGAATTAGAGCTGAGAGATAGACAGGAAGTAGAGCTGAGAGAGACAGGAAGTAGAGCTGAGAGAAAGAGAGACAGGAAGTAGAGCTGAGAGAGAGAGAGACAGGAAGTAGAGCTGAGAGAGAGAGAGAGACAGGAAGTAGAGCTGAGAGAGACAGCTGAGAGGAAGTAGAGCTGAGAGAGAGACAGGAAATAGAGCTGAGAGAGAGACAGGAAGTAGAGCTGAGAGAGAGAGACAGGAAGTAGAGCTGAGAGAGAGACAGGAAGTAGAGCTGAGAGAGAGACATGAAGTAGACCTGAGAGAGAGACATGAAGTAGACCTGAGAGAGAGAGACAGGAAGCAGACCTGAGAGAGAGAGAGACAGGAAGTAGAGCTGAGAGAGACAGCAAGTAGAGCTGAGAGAGAGACAGGAAGTAGAGCTGAGACAGAGAGTGAGAGACAGACAGACAGAGAGAGAGGAAGTAGAGCTGTTAGGACGATGACGATGCGGTTAACTGATGAGCTTTAATAACACTGTATATATGTGGATATCAGTTTAGTTCCAAACTAAACAAACCTTTTGATCGATTCTTTCAGAAACATAACTGAGAAGGTGAAACATTTAGTGAAACAGATCAAAAAGAAACTGAATGTTGAAAGTCTCCTAAAACTTCACTAAAGTTCATTCATCATCTTTCTCATATATCTCTGCTGTCTTTAATTTCTACATATGTGAATGTAGTTTAGTGTGACATCAGTTATTCTAAAGGTTCATCAGTAATACACATGTAGTTGTGTAGTTCTATAGTTCTGTGGTTCTATAGTTCTGTGGTGCTACAGTTGTGTAGTTATATGGTTGTGTAGTTCTATATTTGTGTGGTGCTATAGTTGTGTAGTGCTATAGTTGTGTAGTTCTATAGTTGTGTAGTTCTATAGTTGTGTAGTTCTATAGTTGTGTAGCTATATAGTTGTGTAGTGCTATAGTTGTGTAGTGCTACAGTTGTGTAGTGCTACAGTTGTGTAGTTATATAGTCTATAGTTGTGTGGTTCTATAGTTGTGTGGTTGTAGTAGTTGTGTAGTTATGTACCTTCCAACCAAACTCCATTCAGAAATCTGGTGATTTAATAACACTTCTATACTGTATTATTATAGTATATACAATATATTATTATAGTATATATTACATTACAGTCATTTTTAAAATATATAATATAATTATATTATTATATACTGTATTATTATAGTATATATAATGTGAAATATAAATGATAGAAACAACTAAATAAACGAGTTTAACAAAGTATTTCGTTCGTGTCTGCGCGTCACCGATAGTTAGCCGATCACTGAATCTCTTCTGGTGTGAGCTAGTCTGGTGTGACGCGGTAGCAGCTGCCTGTCTCACCGCACAGCCCGGATGAGGAAGTAGAGGAGCCCGATGGCGGTGACGCCGATGAGGACGTACAGGGCCCTCTGGATCATCGAGCTGTCCACGTCGAGGCCGCCCAACATCTTCCCGCCGCGTGTGGAGTTCAGCCCGCTGGAGTTCGTCGTAACCACCGGTCGGGGTCCCGCGGTTCCGGTGGTTTCGGGTCCATTGCCGGTGGGTCCGGGTCCGTTCCCAGCAGCCTCTTCCGCGGTCACGAGCAGCCAACCGACCGGAACCAGAAGCGTCGCGAGAAGAAGTCCGATAAAAGTCATGTTTTTATTTAACACGAAGAAGAGGAAGAAACAATGGCGGCAGAGTTTTCAGTGTTACTTCTTCAGATCCACGTCGCGTGAACTGAACTCTTGTTGATATAAAGTCAAAACTAGGAAGTTCACGTCGAACTACAGTTGACGTCACACAAATTAGGTTGAGGTTGGTATTTTCCCTCAGTTTGACTCGCAGGAGTGTCAGGTGGTTCCCGCCAACCAATCACACAACGAAGCCAGACACCTGCAAGTCAAAACACAGGGTATAATTACACAGGCTCCTTTATCTTAGTAAGTAAACCTTCTAAAAACAATCTCTGAAATATTTCTTCCAGTAATAAATAACTTATTTTAAATGGGCGACTCCTCCAGCCTTAGAAAAACATATGAATCACATTCTGTAACGCATTAATAACTACGGATATGAGCAAACATCTTTAAACTGTGAGCTTTGTGAGTCACGTGTGTGCAGGTGAATGAGAGGTGTAGAAGATACACAATTATTAGGATATTAGTACTACTCATATGTGTTTATGATGTATATTAAAATCAGTATGTTTGTTTGTTTATCTGATGAAATATTATTGAGATAATTATTTATTGACTTTATGCCAGACAATGATCAGTGTAACACGAACGTGATCCACATGTTTGTGTTCAGATCAAACTATTGATCCACATGACGTCATGTTACAGCTGAATATAGATGTAGAAGATGTAGATTTACTAATGATTCATATTGTTTATTATTGTTTACTAATGATTCATATTGTTTACTATTGTTTACTAATGATTCCTATTGTTTACTATTATTTACTAATGATTCATATTGTTTATTATTGTTTACTAATGATTCCTATTGTTTACTATTGTTTATTAATGATTCCTATTGTTTACTAATGGTTCCTATTGTTTACTAATGATTCATATTGTTTACTAATGTTTGTCCATATTCTTTAAAAATTGAAACAGCAATTTGACTCACATTTTTTTGTTTATATTTTATTAACTTTTGTCCAATAATTTGCTAATCTTTTTTCGTAACAAACATTTGCAGATGATTTGACTTATTATATTTTTGGGATAATTTATTAACGATAAATTTAGATTTTACCATTAAAAGTAACTTGATCATGAAACCTTTCATTTCTCAGTTTAAAGGTTTATTGGATTATTTGACAGACTCATTTAAATAGGAGTCACACATTAATGTCACAGTGAATAAACAGATTAATAAACTATAATAAATCATCTCACAGACAAAGAATGAAAACAGGAAGAAATAAAAGACGTTTAACGTGCACGTGACGTGTATCGGTGTCAGAGTTGCGGGTTTGATTCCCGGATCAAAGCTCCAGATGTCTCCTCGTGTACATTTATGTATTTAGGCTGCCGATGAGGCTCCAGTGATCGAGGGGCCGGCCGTCCAATCACAACGCGACTGGGCTCCCCTGCTGCGCTGTGATTGGTCGCTTTGGTGACGAGTGGGCGGGGCTGTGAGATTACAGCGTCTCTCTCTGTCTCTCTCTTTCTCTTTCTCTCCCTCTCTCTCTCTCTCTCTCTGCGGATCCAGCGGACATCTGGAATCAAACCTCCGAGCACCACAAACACCGACGTCCCGCACCGAGCCCGCCCCGGTTTCGCCGTCTGTTTCCCGCTGAAGACTCGCCCGGGCTGTGTTGTTGTCTCGGGTCGGATCTCCACCGGGAGGCTGCAGGAGGGACCGCGTCTACCGGTAAAAACACGGCAATACGACTAAATCCCGGGAGGAGGTGTGATGGACTGACGTGATCCGACGACCGGGTTTTATAGGCCCCGATGGGAGCTGCGACACATCTGGACCGGGTCCGTGTGCGTCCCGGTTCTGGCCTCAGTCTGGACTGAAGAGTCGTGTTTGTCCCTGAAGATTCCAGATTGGATGTGTTTGTAGTTTTCGTTTCTCTGATAAAGAACCAGGTCCTGGTCCAGAGTTCCTCCTGCTGGTCTGGATTAAACCGGGTCCTGGTCCAGAGTTCCTCCTGCTGGTCTGGATTAAAGAAGCCCATCAGGATCATGAACCACCCCCCCTCTGCTCCTCTAATCTGGATTTAAATCTGAGAGCTGACCTGGTTTACTTTGCACGCCTGACCCGGTCTGAACCCCCCGGGTCCTGGTTGTGGTCCTACTCGGTCCTGGTGTTTGGGGGAGTTCCGCTGTTGCCATGCCGACGTCCCGGCCTGGTTCGGCGCCGGTGGAGTTCTGGGTGGACGGGTCGAGGCGGGACGGGACGGTGGAGGAGGTCTACACTCTGAGCTCCGAGCTGGGCAGGTCTGGACCACATTAGGAGACCACATTAGGGGCTGGGGGGTGGGGGCTCAGGGAGATGGGGTCCACGGGATCCTCCTCCTCCTAGTCCTGTAGAGGGTCTGTAGTGGACCAGACCTTCATGACTGGGAACCAGTCACTGAAGGTCCAGGTCAGAACAGTATGAACGGATTGATGGTCTCTGTTATACTGGGGGAACAAAGATGGAGGTCTGAAGAGAAGTGTTAAAGCTGCATTCTCTCTAGTGTCCACCAGGGGGCGACTCCTCTGGTTGTATAGAAGTCTATGAGAAAATGACTCTACTTCTCTCTTGATTTATTACCTCAGTAAACATTGTAAACATGAGTTTATGGTCTCAATCTCTAGTTTCAAGTCTTCTTCAATACAGCATGATGTTCATTTAGTACATTATGGTCCATTTAGAGTCAAACAGACCATAAAGCAGGGGATGCTTTAGGGCGGGGCTACACGGTGATTGACAGGTCTCTAACAGACCATAAAGCAGGGGATGCTTTAGGGCGGGGCTACACAGTGATTGACAGGTCTCTACCAGAGACGTATACGGCGTCTCTACGTCACTCCTCCTCAGTCCACATATGGTCACTTCCTGTTCACTGGTTGCAAAAAAACAAGATGGCGACTAGGTCTATTCTTATAAACAGTCTGACTCGTGGATGTTTAAACAGAACTGGATATCATACAGGAAGTCTGTTCACTTCAAAATAAAAGAGCCTCTGATTTACAGACGACTATTTCTGAGAGTAAGTCAACGGGGGAAAGTCTTTTTGGGCCCCATGACGTCATGTGATGGACCAGGAAGTTGTGGTTACACCGTTCGTCTACTTTGTCTCTTTAAACCCCCGGAGCTCTTGCTTTGGTTCGGTCCAGCCTTCTGGTTCTGGACCACGTGAACTAGAACCAGTGAATTAGATCTTAGATCTTAACGAGGGGAAACTTTACGGTCAGCTCAAAGATGTCGAGGTTCTTCTCACTTTTACTTTTTCCTTCAGGTTCATCTGGTTCTTTGTCAGTTTGAAACAGTTTGTTAGTGAAACTGTTCAGTCAGTCAAACACCTGAAGGATCTTCATCATCGTCTTTGAGACGGATGTCTGGTGTGATGGTTCCATTGGGTCACTGAGACCGGACCAGGGCCCCGTTCCTCGTAAGTGGCTAACTGAGTTAGCCGGATCATCTTCAGGATAAGATGACGTAGATCAGGCTTTTTGGTTCCACAAAGCAAGTTTGGCAAAATCACCATGGCAACACATCCATAAGCTTGAAGCTGCTCCAGCGCAGGCTAACTGAAGGTAGCTGGATAAGCTGCCACTCCCCCGGAAAACATGGCAGCTCCTGTCATATACGGTAGTCTAATGCGCTTGCGCATATACCGGGGGTTATACGGGAGTTCCAGAAATGCATGTAAAGTGAGACACACGGTGATCCATTAAAGCAGCTGAGCAAACTAAGAAGCCTCTATTGCATTAATGTACAGCTCCCTTCCTCAGAGATCCACTGATGGAGGATATTAGTTAGATTAGCGTTTTATAGGGAGAGAGTTCTTCCACATCGCCAAGATCCGTTATCACATCACGATGACTTCCTATACGAGCGCTATCCATTCTGCCCACAAGGAATCATTTATTTACAGACCTTCTGGAGCATACATTGAACACCACACGCTGCAGCCGAGCATTGATGTCTCACACACTGGATGCAGCCTTGAGCTGTTCTGCGAGTGGTACATTGTTGTACAGTGTCGGCGATGCGGAGAACATGGGGAAAGCCGCTGCATGCCGTGCTGTTGGTAAAGTTTATTAGGCGCTTAATAAACTTATGGATGTGTTCATTACATCACCATGGCACATATTGTACTGACTCAGCATTCTGAGTAATGTGTGTGTGTTAGTGTTTACTTGCTCCCATGTCCTCTTGATGGCTGCGTTGCATACATGAGGGTTAAAGCACTCATAATGATATGACAGTGTTATTAGTACACCAGCATATCATTACTGTAGAACATGATGAAGGTGGACTCATGATAAGAACAGAGAGAATCACACACTATTGATCTTCACTGCTTCAGTTGATTGAATGTCTGATGATGAATAATACACACACACACACTGATCCGCCCACACACAGATTCACACACAGATTCAAACTAGTTCTATATGGTGATCTACACATACATGTATATACACATATATAGTACATGATAATGAGGGCATACAGTACATATATCCTCATATTAATGAGGATCAGTAGATGCTCTTTGGGCTTGTTTTTATCTTATTGTGAAAGAGTTGAGATCATTATTGTCGCTATAGATCTCATTGGATGATGCATTCATGAAGCCTACTGCCAGCAGCTCATTTAAAGACATATCATCTGATTGATTGGGGTGATGAGGCATTAAAATGAGCCGATACATTTACAACACTTACGCATTTAACGTGTGTGTGATATTTTGCGTGCTTCTTGTCTAGCCCTCGCAGCGGTGGAGGTGTTATATTTAGCCGTGATTATGGTCTTGAATTCCTCATATGCGTTCATGATCATCTCCTGCTCGTCAGCGGAGTAAAGAGAGGCTCTTTCTTTGACTTTATTTAACATTGTACTGTTAGAAAATCATGGTTTCGGTGATCGACGCTTCCCCCTTTTGAAGTAGGACGGGCACGCGCAATTATCCTGATCCTGATCGTCTGGTTCCAATTAAGGAGACTGTTTGAGAGGATCAGCCTTGGAGAAGCCGAGATAGCCTGACTTCAATCATCTCGTTAATTTAAGCTGCTAATAGGACATTTGATCGACTTAGTTGAACCACGTATGAGGAACGGGGCCCAGATCTCAGATCAGACTCCTTTAATGGAGACGATAACAGAGGATTGTGGGTCAGAACATCCAAAGAGGCCTGCTGGCTTCCTGAGCTCTTGTATTAGATTTGACAGGTGTACCTAATAAATTGACCAGTGTGACATCATGATGACTGTCCAATCAGTGAGTTCCCTGAAACACAACAATCATTGTTTCATTTGTTTTGGACCAAAAGAACTGCAGCTGTGAAAGTGACCCAACTGTTGTTATTGTTGTCGTTGTTTACTGAAACAACAACAACAACAACAACACTAACATTTCCCTGGAAACAGTACAATTATGTCAGCAGTGAATTCAGCAGCTCTGTTACCAGGTGTCCTGTTGCCATGGAGACTGGCTAGGACTGTGAGAGTGAGAGTGTGTGTGTGTGTGCGTGTGTGTGTGTGTGTGTGCGTGGTTGCTCTTCAGATGGGTCTGTTTCCTCCATCTGTTCTAGCAGAATAACAGATCCCCCCCCTACACACACACACACATACAGACTCACACACATACACTCACACACACATTTGAACAATTTATTTCTGTCCTAGAGAAGAACGATGTTTTCACCGTCAGAGAGAATTTGTGTCAACATGTCTTATCTAGTAGAAAGATGAGGAAGACAGTTTCTCCTTTTTGCCTCTCCGAAAAAAGAAGTATTCAGGTCCTTTACTGCAGTATAAGGACAAATACCACTCTGTGAAAATACCAGTTCAGGTTCAACGCCGAGGTGTTAGACGTCGGGGCGTTCAGGTTCAACACCGTGGTGTGAAACGTTGAGGCGTTCAGGTTCAACGGCATAGTGTTAGACGTTGGGGCGTTCAGGTTCAACGGCATAGCGTTAGACATTGAGGCCTTCAGGTTCAACGGCATAGTGTGAGACGTTGAGACGTCCAGGTTCAACGCCGTGGGGTTGGACGTCGGGGCGTTCAGGTTCAACGCCGTGGTGTTAGAAGTCAATGTGTTCAGGTTCAACACGGTGTTTGATCTTTTGTTTCTTTCAGAGGAGCGACGTCCATCGTATATCGCTGTGAGGAGAAGCAGACTCAGAAACCCTACGCTCTCAAAGTCCTCAAGAAAACGGTCAGTGTTGGAACCAGAGGCCAGACGTCATGATAGGGTTCCCTTCTGCCAACATCAGGAACCTGAGGCTAACTATAAGCTAATTCTAATTGCTAATGCTAATTGCTAACTCTAAACGAACGGGAAGAGAAGCTAATCTAAGCCAATGGGGCAGAGACGCTAAGTGTAAGATAACAGAACCTAGAAACTATCTGGATTCGTGGCTTTATCTCACTTTTAGTGAAACAGAACTGTGATTCAGGCAACATGTTGTGGATTTATTGATCTGGGTTTTGACTGAACAGAGCTGGAATTTAAATGGAGAGGATTAGTATGTGTAGCTAACAAGACACATCATGTAAATACTCATAATATATCCATGTTTGTTTGTAATGATATTTGTTTTTATTTAGAAAAGAATTACAAAAGAATTAAAAAGAAAAACAATACATTCGATGGAGCTGGCTAGCAGTTTCCCCCTACTTCCAGTGTGTTACGCTAGGCTAACCATGTTCTGGACCTCATTGCTAACTTTAAATACTGTGAGTCAGTTTGAGCTTCTGTCTCTGAACTCATCAGATGTTTACGTTGTTTCTTCTGTCGCAGATCGACAAGAAAATTGTTCGCACAGAAATTGGCGTCCTGCTGCGTCTTTCCCACCCAAACATTGTGAGTATGTTTCTCAGTAAGTAATTATCGATTCATTTGATTAACCAGTTGTGATTTGTGTTTAATATATGTTTTATGTATCGCATACATTTGGGATATTGTGATGGATTCTACAATTTGAGTGTTAGACCAACTTAAATCTCATTGATCCCTGTTGTCCTCTGTGAGGTTCAGGGACACTTGGTTCTTATGAATTAGGAGCTGGTTCTCCATCAGAACCGGTTCACTATTAGAATAGTTTCTTCATTTGGACTGGTTCTCCATTAGAAAAGGTTCTCCACTACAACAGGTTCTCCATCAAAACTGGTTCTCCACCACAACAGGTTCTCCATTTGAACAGGTTCTCAATAAGAACAGCTTCTTTATCAGGAATGGTTCTCCATCAGAACTGGTTCTCCATTAGAACTTGTTCTACACCAGGACAGGTTCACCATCAGAACAGGTTCTCCATAAGAACTGGTTCTCCATCAGAACAGGTTCCTGAGAGTTGTACCTTGTTCCTTTGGTTCTCCATAGAACAGGTTCTCCATCAGAACAGGTTCCTGAGAGTTGTACCTTGTTCCTTTGGTTGTCTCTCAGATCCAGCTGAAAGAGATCTTTGAGACGGACACGGACATCGCTCTGGTGCTGGAGCTGGTGACGGGAGGAGAGCTGTTTGACAGGTATCATTTATTTATGTTGTATCATCTTATATAAATAACTGGTTCGGTTATGAATCCAGTTATAGAATCAGCAGCAAAGAGGATCATCAGATCAATGAGTTTTATTGTAGGTGATAATCAGTGGACAGACGTACACATGATGATACCGGAATGAAAACATGACAACGAACATTCAGAAAATAACTGTACCTCTAGAGACATGAAGATAACTCACACATTATTACTAATACATTAACTTTATTAACATTATTACTAATACATTAACTTTATTAACATTATTACTAAAACATTAACTTTATTAACATTATTACTAAAATATTAACTTTATTAACATTATTACTAAAACATTAACTTTATTAACATTATTACTAACTCATTAACATTATTAGTAATACACTAACATAATTAAGATTATTACTAAAACATTAACTTTATTAACATTATTACTAAAACATTAACTTTATTAACATTACTAAAACATTAACTTTATTAACATTACTAAAACATTAACTTTATTAACATTATTGCTAATACATTAACTTTATTAACATTATTACTAACTCATTAACATTATTACTAATACACTAACATTATTAACATTATTACTAATACACTAACATTATTAACATTATTGATAATACATACTTAATTGCAGTAATTAGCTACTTTCCACCGGTGTTGGTCCTGGAATATAAAATTTAAAATCGTTGTTGAAAATGTAAATAAGCATGTCATATTTTGATCTGGTGTTTTTTCTGCAGGATCGTGGAGCGAGGTTACTACAGCGAGAGAGACGCCGCTCACGTCATCAAACAGATCCTGGAAGCTGTTGCGGTAAGACTGCTGCATTCAGTGTCTGTTCTCACTTTCATTCAAATCCAGCACTGTCTGAGTGTCTGGTTATATCGTCAGAGTGGATCATCCAGCTCCATCGATCCCTCTGCTCATTCGATTACCGTTCACTTCCTCCATCTCTGTTCAATCTCTGCAGCTCCACACACTGAACCACTGTTTATGAACCAGCTGCTGGCTACAGTTAGTTCAGAGTTAACTTCTGGTTAGGTTCTAACCGGGCTAACATTTTCCCCTGCTTCTAGTCTTTGTACTAAGCTAGGCTAAACATGAACCTCCATCTGAACTGAACACACCAAGAGGAAACTGATCTCCATCTGAATAATGTGGCAGGAGTTGTCCTGTTCTTTTAAGGTTCACTAAATTGTGTACTGTTTTTTTAAGGATCACTAATTGGTGTACTGTTCCTTTAATGATCATTAAATGTTGTACTGTTCCTTTAAGGTTCTCTGGATGTTGTACTGTTCCTTTAAGGTTCACTAAATGTTGTACTGTACCTTTAACGATCATTAGATGGTGCACTGTTCCTTTAACGATCATCATTAGATGGTGTACTGTTCCTTTAAAGATCATTAGATGGTGTATTGTTCCTTTAAGGATCATTAGATGGTGTACTGTTCCTTTAAGTATCACTAGATGGTGCACTGTTCCTTTAAGGATCATAAGCTGGTGCACTGTTGCTTTAAGTTTTAACAGAAGTTCCTGCTGCTATAAACAAGTAGTAGAACTAGTAGTGTAGATGTGTAGTGAGAGTAACGTGTCATCGATACGAGCAACGTGAAGCTCTCCCTGAACCCCGGGGGGTGGGTTAGTTGTTGCAGTAGACTTTCAGTAGGTAGTTGTAATAGTTGCAGTAGTTAGTTACATTTGTTGCAGTAGTTAGTTACAGTAGTTGTAGTAGTTGGTTACAATAGTGGCAGTATTTAGTTGCATTAGTTAGTTGTAGTAGTTGGTTGCGTGTTTTACAGTAGGTAGTTGCAGTAGTTGTAGTAGTTGTAGTAGTTAGTTGCAGTAGTTCCATTAGTTGTAGTAGTTGGTTGCAGGTGTTGCAGTAGTTAGTTGTAGTAGTAGTTAGTTGAATAGTTGCAGCTGTTAGTAGCAGTGGTTGTAGTAGTTAGTTGCAGTAGTTCCAGTAGTTTGTTGTATTAGTTGCAGTAGGTAGTTGTAGTAGTTGGTTGCCAGTGTTGCAGTAGGCAGTTGCAGTATTTGTAGTAGTTTCTTGTATTAGTTATAGTACTTAGTTGCAGTAGTTAGTTCCATTAGTTGCAGTAGTTAATTGCAGTAGTTTCAGTAGTTGGTTGCAGGTGTTCCAGTAGGTAGTTGCAGTAGTTAGTTGTAGTCGCTGTAGTAGTTAGTTGCAGTAGTTGTAGTTTCTGGTTGCAGTTGTTGCTTTAATTAATCGCAGTAGTTGCAGCAGTTAGTTGTAGTAGTCATTTGTATTAGTTGCAGTAGTTGTAGATACTGGTTGCAGTAGTTGGTAGCAGGTGTTGCAGTATGTAGTTGCAGTAGTTGTAGTAATAAGTTGCATTTGTTTTAGTAGTTAATTGCAGGTGTTGTAGTAGTTGGTTGCAGTAGTTACTTACAGGTGTTGCAGTAGTTAGTTGCATTAGTTGCAGTAGTTGGTTACTTTAGTTGCAGTAGTTGGTTACTTTAGTTGTAGTAGTTGGTTGCATTGGTTGTAGTAGTTGGTTGCGTTGGTTGTAGTAGTTAGTTGCATTGGTTGTAGTAGTTAGTTGCGTTGGTTGTATTAGTTGCATTGGTTGTAGTAGTTGGTTGCGTTGGTTGTAGTAGTTAGTTGCGTTGGTTGTAGTAGTTAGTTGCGTTGGTTGTAGTAGTTGGTTGCGTTGGTTGTAGTAGTTAGTTGCATTGGTTGTAGTAGTTGGTTGCGTTGGTTGTAGTAGTTAGTTGCGTTGGTTGTAGTAGTTGGTTGCGTTGGTTGTAGTAGTTGGTTGGATTAGTTGCAGTAGTCGGTTGTGTTGGTCGCAGGTGTTTCTTGCAGCAGCGTTGCTGCTCACAGCAGCAGCAGCAGGTCTCTTATGTAACAGCAGATTCCATCCTGCTGCTGAACAGATTAAAACCAGAGGATTAATAAACACACACACAAATATAAACACACAAATATAAACACACACACATGAACACAATCCGACCACAGCTGACCTACATCTACCACGCAGAGAAACATACGCATATGTGTGTGTGTGTGTGTGTGTGTGTGTGTGTGTGTGTGTGTGTGTGTGTATAAGGATTACAGTAGTTGTATTTGCTGTATCACATATGTGTGTGTGTGTGTGTGTGTGTGTGTGGCATTAATCTGCAGCGCAGAAACAGCCCGTGAACACACCAGAAGATTTTTTCCACCAATTTCCAAAGCTCTGGGTCATGACCCCACGAGTTCTATGTTCACAGTTTCTCTTAAGAGAAGAGACGCGCTGCAGCTAAACATCTCCGGTATTTATTTTCACGTTGTCTCCATGAAAATTATGCAAATGACAAATAACAGATTAAAATAAGAGACCTCTGTTCTGTTGAAATAAAGTCTCCTCTAGTCGCTGTCTACATCAGCTGATCTGAGGAGAGGAAGTGAGTGTTCACAGCAGGGGATGCTGGGAGCTGGAGGAAGAGGCCATCTGTCAGCCCGTCCTGCCAAATCTTCCACAGACTCCCCTCCCCCCCACCCAACCCCTCCTCCGGCACCTACACTGACCTCCAGGCTTCTCATCATGTCAGACCCACTGCTGACTTTCATGTACTAACAGAACGTGGAGCAGCCTCTGAAGTTAGAGTCTTTGTGTGTTTCAGTATCTCCATGAGAACGGAGTTGTGCATCGAGACCTCAAACCGGAGAATCTTCTGTACGCCGACCTGTCTCTGGACGCTCCGCTGAAGATCGGTAACGAGCCGACACCCACCTTCACCCTCTGATTCCTTCACCCTCTGACTCCTGCACCCTCTGACTCCTTCACCTCTGACTCCTTCACCCTCTGACTCCTTCACCCTCTGACTCATTCACCTTCTGACTCCTTCACCCTCTGACTCCTTCACCTCTGACTCCTTCACCTCTGACTCCTTCACCCTCTGACTCCTTCACCCTCTGACTCCTTCACCCTCTGACTCCTTCGCCCTTTGACTCCTTCACCCTCTCACTCCTTCAGCCTCTGACCCCTTCATCCTCTGATTCCTTCACCCTCTGACCCCTTCACCTTCTGACTCCTTCACCCTCTGACTCCTCTGCAGATCTAATGGTGACAAGAAGGGAAAGACACTTAATTGAACCTCAGCTTGTGATCTGAAGTTATAAATATATTTACTGAAACACAAATCATTTCAAACAAACCCTGCAGATGTTACAGCCAACAACAGCTGACATACCGAGCCTGTCGTATTCACGTCTGGTGTACGTTTGATTCCTCCTGCTTGTTTCCTTTGAAGCAAACAGGAGAAGAGCTTTTGTTTGACTGAGCTGAAGACAAACAGACTCCACTTGTGACTAATTGCACAACAAATAAGAGTAGAAAGAAAGAAACTATACTCACAGTAATAACAGTTGGGAAGTCATTACCTTCCTGGTGTTTCTTTCTTAAACTGACCTTTTTCTTGCTGGAGTCTGGTGGAGAATCAGATGTTACCATATCATTTAACATCATATTACGTATTCATCACATATTAACGTCTACGCAGACGTCGGAAAATGTAAATGATTTAGATTTGTGTTGTAAGGTAAAAGAACCTCAAAATGGTACTTGAGGACAGTACTTAAGTAAATGCACCATTGCAATTCATCTGGAGATAAGAGGGGAGAACAAGTCATATTTATCCCCCTTCTATGTTGTGACGGTTCCCTATCTGGGTTACTTATGTATGTTCCTTTAAGACAGCAGGTACCAGAGGTGGTGATCGCCTAAATGGAGGCACCTGGGCCCGGTGCGCTTCCCCTATAAGGGTCCACCTTCCTGGCAACCTGGGGGCGCTCTCCCATCACCCCGTGGAGGAACGAGAACGGCTCGTTCCAGCCACCATTTGACGTTGGACCTATTGTTTATGTTTAATAAACTCTGTGCTTTTTGGCAAACTGTCTGCGTCTCCATGATTGGGTCATGGCTGTCGGAGCCAGGTCGTGACATATGTTGTCCAATGCAAGCTGACCTTATAATGCTGCTAATTCTGACAGCACCTGAAGGCAGCATCATGCTCTGTCCTTTGGTTTGAGCTCAGTGAGAACAGAACAACATGGCTCGTTACCAGGTCCCGTTATCTGTCGGTGTGTGTCGGCCTCCAGTTGGCCGGTGGGCCTCCAGCAAACAGTTACAGATGGAAGCAACTCTCTCTCAGAGAGACTCTTCACCACCAACACCTCCCTTTGGTTCAGAGACTCTCTCCTCATCACATTCTCACCTCCACACTTCACTTTAAATAGAAACAGGAAACAGCAGAAACACCTCGATGCAAGAAACAGCTTTTTATCTCAAAACCCCAAAAGCTAAAAACAGAACCATGAATCATATGTTAGAATCCACTTCTCATCTGAACTTCCTCCTCTCTTACAGCCGACTTTGGTCTTTCCAAAATCATCGATGACCAGGTGACCATGAAGACCGTCTGTGGTACGCCGGGGTACTGTGGTAAGTTCAAGACCTCTACGACTACGTGATCTTTAGAGTAGTATGTAGTATTAGTAGATGATGTAGTAACAGTAGTACATGTTGTAGTAACATTAGTAGATGATGTAGTAGCAGTAGTACATGTAGTAACATTAGTAGATGGTGTAGTAGCAGTACTACATGTAGTAACAGTAGATGGTGTAGTAGTAGATGATGTAGTAACAGTAGTACATGTTG